TCCGACTCCTGCTTGAACTCTTTCTGGGGCTCCCCAATGACCTCTGGAAAGCCCATGTGACAAGGCCACAATGACCCAAATCCCCTGCTGGCCAGCTGCGGTGGCCTCTCTTCCCTCCTCACATGGCAGCCACAGTGGACTTTCAGCACCCCAAGCAACCATGCTGCCCTGTGCATACATGGTCCCTCTACCCCCATCCACCCAATCATCTGCTACTTCGGGTGTTGGCCTGGCAGCTCTCCCTCTCTGCTTAAGTCCCCCTCACAGGCTACTAGGATGATGAGGTGAGATGGTCTATGTCAAGCTCTTAAAAAGGGTCAGGCTCACAGTAGGTGCTCAGTGACCACTGGCCCTTCATTCCCCAGGATGGTGTGGATAGGGGGGCTGCTGTTCCTCCCTGCACCCTTTACTACCATCCCATTACCTTCTCCCTGCTGGGCTGAGTGCTTCATGAGAGCAGGGCCCATGGATTTTTCCCTCACCTTGAGTACTCAACATTCATGGAATGACTATGTGAGTATGTTTTCCTTTACCACAGAGAGCATTCACGGATCTCTGGGACTGTCACCAACACTAGCAGTCAGTACCAGGAGGCAGTGCAGGCTAGTGAAGGGAACGGTAGTTGTAAATCCACTATCAATGGCTTTGCTGTTCAGGGCTTCAATTCCTGGGAAGTAGTGATATTCTAGCCAGCCCACCTCAGAGCTACCCACTCTGGAGCACATATGTACACTTTTGGATTTGGTGGGATAAAATCATAGAATTCCTTCCCATCCTCCATCATGAGACTCAGAGGCCCCTCCTAACAGAGGGACACCCTGTCCTAAAAGGGCAGGAAGGTGGGCAGAACCACTCCCCATGGTAACTCCCCAGCCCCTGTCCACACCATGCCCTGCCCCAATGCCTCTCCCTGGGAACGACTCCTCACTCAGCAGGCACTTTCTGATGCCCCTGTAAGACGCCAGGGGTATCTTGAGATGAATCAGCCAGAAAGGAGGACATTGTGCAGTGGTTACCAGATCAGGGAGGGCTACCAAAGTAGGCCAGTTTGTTAAAGGCCCTGGCCCCACCTTCAGGGGGCCACTGCCAAGCAAGGAGCAAAGTTACTCATGCTAGCCGTGAGCAGCCATTCCCAGAGGTGTGCACAGATCAGTGGCTCCAGAACTGCTGAGTATGCTGCACAGGCTGGACTGAAAATGCTGTAGGAAAGGCAGTTGGGGCCAGAGCTGAAGGGCCTTAAACCCAGGCAGACGAGCTGGAGTTTATCCAGGAGGTAGGGAATGTCATAGTTGCACCATGTGCCTTTTGAGGGACAGGGAAGGTAGGTACAGCAAACCTGGCACCTTTTGTTCCAGAGTTTTCTGTGCACTGGCTAAGTAGGCATGTTTTTCCCACTTGAGTTACTTCAGCTGCTCTGGGGACCACCGTGACTCAGCTTCATGCTGGGGTGGGTGGTTGGATAGCCTGGTAGTCCCTGTGGCACCTCTGTCCCCAAGCCGGGCTGACACTGGGCAGTGCTCAAACGGAGGTGGTATAGGGGGCAGACTTGGGTGTTTGGTGTCTCTGCAGCCCTGGTAAGCCCTGGCCCTCCTGCTCTGTCACAGGGATCAGCCTCCTCATCCCCCCAGATGCCATACCACGAGGAAAGATCTACGAGATCTACCTCACACTGCACAAGCCAGAGGATGTGAGGTGTGGGTGAAGACCCTGCTGCTGGGGCTGGGTGGGTCCTGCCCCCTGCCTTCAGTCACCATGAAACCTGCCCACCCAGTTGGGGTGGTCTACCTTGGCCCAAGGGAGGATAGGGGAAGAGCTGCCCCTAAGCTCCACCCAGCTCTGTGGGCCCAAGCCCAGGGTACTCCTGCCCTGCCTGAAACCTGGATCCAGGATGGTCCACTGATGCATTTCCCTCTCCACCTGTATTTCCCCACTTGAGGTTGCCCCTAGCTGGCTGTCAGACCCTGCTGAGTCCCATCGTTAGCTGCGGGCCGCCCGGAGTCCTGCTCACCAGGCCTGTCATCCTCACCATGGATCACTGTGGGGAGCCTAACCCCGAGAGCTGGAGCCTTCGCCTCAAAAAGCAGTCCTGTGAGGGCAGCTGGGAGGTGAGCAGGATCAGCCCTGAGCCGCCAGCCTGAGAACTAACTGGGTTCAGAGTAGAGCTGGGGCTTCCCACCGTTGCCTGTCAGCCACGCCCCCGCCCTGGTCTCTGGCCACTCCTCAGAGCTGCAGTTGGCTGCAAGCTGACCCATCGGGCCCTGCCCACAGGACGTGCTGCACCTGGGTGAGGAGGCGCCCTCCCACCTCTACTACTGCCAGCTGGAGCCTGGTGCCTGCTATGTCTTCACCGAGCAGCTAGGCCGCTTTGCCCTCGTAGGAGAGGCCCTCAGTGTGACTGCAGCCAAGCGCCTCAAGCTGCTTCTGTTTGCCCCTGTGGCCTGCACCTCCCTCGAGTACAACATCCGAGTCTACTGCCTGCATGACACTCACGATGCACTCAAGGTACCACCACCCATCCCAACCCTGCTTCAGGGAGGCCGCACCATGCCTGGCACTGAGGCCTGACTGCTCCTGGCCCTCAGGAAAGGAGTGGAAGTGGGGAGGGCCTCTCCTGTAGTGCCCTGGGATGAACTGACCACTTGGGGCACTACAGGAGGTGGTGCAGCTGGAGAAGCAGCTGGGAGGACAGCTGCTCCAGGAGCCCCGCCTCCTGCACTTCAAGGACAGTTACCACAACCTGCGCCTGTCCATCCACGATGTGCCCAGCTCCCTGTGGAAGAGCAAGGTCCTTGTCAGCTACCAGGTAAGGGCACTCAAGGGGCCTGGTGTTGGGCACACCTGATACAAGGCTCACCTGACGCTGCCTCTCTGCATCTCCGCCCCCAAGGAGATCCCCTTTTATCACATCTGGAATGGTCCGCAGCAGTACCTGCACTGCACCTTCACCTTGGAGCGAGTCAGCCCTAGCACCAGCGACCTGGCCTGCAAGGTGTGGGTGTGGCAGGTGGAGGGTGATGGGCAGAGCTTCAACATCAACTTCAACATCACCAAGGTGAGTGGGAGGGGATGTCAGCAGCACCACAGTGTGTGCAGGCACCCCCCAGCCCCTGTGTTTCTGGCATCAGGAACTGAGTGGAGAAGAAAAGGCAGTGAGAGGAGTATAGTGAGTTCTGAGTGGTCAGCATGAAGCCAGGCAGAGGTGACTTGGGGAGAGGTCGTAGGAAGGAGGAGGGGAGCGAGGCCAAACATCACATCTGCTCACTGGCTATGTAACTTTGGGCAGACTTCCATGATGCCTCTGAGCCTTGGGCTCCTCTGAGTGAGCAGGGCCATGGTGCACCAGGGTTACCCAGGAAGTACCAGTGTCCGTGCTCTTGGGTGGTTTGGGCACTCCTCCAGCAGGAGGTAACAATGGGCCTGGTCAGGCAAAGTTCTAACAGGCACCTCTACTCCTCCCCACCCTCAGGACACAAGATTTGCTGAGATGCTGGCTCTGGAGAGTGAAGGGGGGGTCCCAGCCCTAGTGGGCCCCAGTGCCTTCAAGATCCCCTTCCTCATTCGGCAGAAGATCATCACCAGCCTGGACCCACCCTGTACCCGGGGTGCTGACTGGCGAACTCTGGCCCAGAAACTTCACCTGGACAGGTGGGTGGAAAATGGACAGGCCACCTGCAGTTAAGCCTGGCAGGGTAGGATGGGTGGGGTGGACAGGATGCTCTGGGATCTTGTGCCCCACCAGCAGCCAGAGCATCCAGTAGTGGGTGCCTTTCGGTAGGCTGGGAGGCAGGTGGGGTGAGGCCAGGCTACTAATAGGGTCCCCTCTCCTCCACAGCCATCTCAGCTTTTTTGCCTCCAAGCCCAGCCCCACAGCCATGATCCTCAACCTGTGGGAGGCACGGCACTTCCCCAATGGCAACCTCAGCCAGCTGGCTGCAGCAGTGGCTGGACTGGGCCAGCCAGACTCTGGCCTCTTCACCGTGTCAGAGGCTGAATGCTGAGGCCAACCAGGCCCACAACGCCTACACTCTCACCAGCTTTGGCACCCGCCAGGGACAGGCAGAAGCCGGACAGGGCCCTTCCCCCCACACCCAGGGAAGCTGTGTGGACAGGCCCCCTCCGGCAGACACTGTCCCTTAACACTGGCCCTTCAGATCCTGCCCACACTTCCACTCCTCCATGGCCTGCCTGGCCAGGCTGGCACTGCCACCTACTCTGGCCCTGCTCAGTCCCCCGGGCCCAAGGTAGACAGTGCCTGGAGCCCAAACCAGGTCCAGCCCATCTGTGTGTGTGTATGTGCGTGTGATGCTACCTCTCCTCCGCCCCTGGTCAGGGGGCCGCATACACATGGGCAGGCATGCACATACTGGGCTTGGGACGTGGCCCCAGAGCTCCTACCTGAGCTGGACCTTATGCAAACATTTCTGTGCCTGCTGGGTAGGGGCACATCTGAGGGGCCTGGCTCCAAGCCTGTAGGACTGATGGCCACAGCGGATAGGGGACAGCCCTGGATTCAGGCACACGACCACCACATGGCACGTACCCATACATGTCTCGTGTGCTCATCTCACATTCAATACTCCACACACATCTCATGCCATACACCTGGAGGCCACTCACATCTCTCATAGCCAGTGTCAGTCCACATCTGCCTCTCACATGCTGCCCTTCTCCCACCCACCCAGGGACACCCAATGGCTCCTGCCTGATTTCCCCCTGCCCCCAGCCTCGAGGAACCCTGCCCAATGGGGTGTGTGAATATGCAATGGGAGTCCCAGGCTGGACAATGGCAAGTGTGCGTGCCGTGGCGTGTCCGTTCCTGGGGCTGGCTGGTTCCCATGTGGGGCCTGTCGTGTGAAGCTTGTGCCCTGACTCTGTCTTAAGTGCATTTGCGCACTTATATTTGGCCTTATGTACACAGCCTTGCCCGGCCGCCGGGGCGCGTAGGGATTTTAGCAGACGTGAATGTAAATAAATTATATATATATATTGCTAACCCACGTGCTATTTCTCTTGGGGAAAACAAGCGGTTGAGGCCAGTAGCCACAGAGGGGTCACATATGGGCTATCCTGGAAGTCGTGGATGGCTAGGCTGGCTGGAGACAAGTGGGTTCCAGGCCCTGGTCCAGCAAATTCCTGAAGATTCTTCAGACGTGGGCCATCTGGGCAAGACGGCAGGCAACAGCAGTGACCAGAGCTGCACCTTTGCCAGATCCGTCCTCCGACTGCAGGAAGGAAACCACACAGCGAGGGGCCAGCTCCCTTACTGTGGCTGCCACCCAGCTAGAGAAGCTGTGAGGGGAGGAGTTGAAGTGAGCCCAGACAAGCCAGGCCCCACCCAGCCATGCTTCCCTTCCTCTTCCAGCACCCAGACTCACTGGGGGTGTAGTTTATAGAGGGTCCCATCAACCCCCACAGACACAGTCAGCTCTTCCAGGCCTCGGTTCTCACGGATCTTCTCTACCACAGCAGCCACACCTGCCCCACAGAGCTTGGCGGCCCGCTGGGACACAGCCTGGCACACCTCCAGGACCATCAGGGCATCATCTGAGGTCAGGGGGAGCCCCAGATCCTCCAAGATGGCTCGGACCTGCCTCAGGGCCAGGCTGTCACTGGGGACAGGAAGGAATAGAGCACAGAGAGGCAGGGTCCTGCATTAGCTCCCCACCTCATGACTTTTCTGTTCTCTGGGGTGGACTCCTTTGGGATGTGAAGGGAGATAATACAGGCCTCAGGCACCTTTCAATCTCAGAGAGAAACTTGGTTTTAAAGATGTCCCTGGTCTGAAGGCGCTGGGTCTGCTGGCCCCGGAAGAGAACTCCAAGGCTGGTCAAATGCAAGAGGATGTGGTGGACAATCTCCCCCAGGTACATGCCACTGATCATCTTCTCAAACCTGCATGCAAGTGTGTGTGTGCCCAGGGCAGGAGACACCACCAGCTACCATCACCAATGCCAGCCACTAGCAGCCACCCCTGCCCTACCCAGCCCACACCTCTGCTTGCTGGGGTTGATGGATGCCTGGTCCACACTTGCATCGAAGCAGGTGCTGAGCACACCCAGAGAGCCATCATCCCCAAAGGCACCCCACTCCATGTTGATGCACATGTGGCCTGAGTCCCCAGCCACACCCACCACATTCCGGAGCTCTTCCATGTAACAGGCATTGGTGCCAGTCCCTGCAGAGAGGCCAGATGGGGTGGGACCCATTTACCGATATAGATAAGACCCCTCTGAGCCCTGCCCCCACTGAGACAGCTCATTTCCTACCTTTCCATCTCCCCACCCTCACAACCTGTCCCAGGTCCTGGTCTGTCTACCTTCCTGACATTACTTCTGCAGACCCTGCTAGCACCAAACCCTCCAAGCCTCCACTTTCCCCCATCAGCAACACTGTCAGTACTCCTATGCTGACTCAGAGCACTCCTAAAATGCCTGTCAGTCATGTCACTCCCATGGGAGATATGTGACTACCCCTCACCATCTGAAGGTGAGAGGCCCAAGCTCAGATTCAGCTTTCTCTGACTGTGACATGCTGTTCTGGGCTCAACTTCTGATAAATGGTCAGTTCTGAGAAATCAGGTGTTTCCCCCTTCCTTATGTGTCTTCCTTTCCCTTCATCCAGCCCCCAGCTGGCCACAGGATAGGTGTTTAATAAAAACTTAGAATCTTGGACTACCTCAAGGACCCTCACAGCTCATTCTCTGTTCCCTGCCCTGGTCCCCACCCAATTCCGAGACCCAAATGCATACTAGGGTGAGCCAGGCACTGCGCCATGCCTTGCTCTCTCTTTTCATCCTCACAACCATTAAGACAGGCATTGTTATTATCTCCATCTTAGAGATGAAGAAACTGAGGCTCTGGTGATTTGCCCAAGGTCACACAGGTGGAAGTGGCAGAGCTAGTATTTCTGCCCAAGTCTGTATGACTCCAAAGCTCAGATTCATTCAACATAAGCACATACTAAGTTCAGAGTGCTTAAATGACTATGAATCAGTAACTGAGCTGGGCTAGACACCCAAGCTCCAGACTGCCAGCCCAGTAGAGTGTTCCAGGCCCTTTTGGGTCAGGAGGGAATTAAGCCACATCCCCAGTTCCAGTGGAATGTCCGACCTGAGGAATCAACAGGAGACAGTGAATTAACATCAGGCATGGAGGTAAAAAGAGCAGGGCCCTCCTCACCAACAATGAGGCCGACTTCGCAGTGGGGGTCCTCATAGCCACAGGACATCATGGTCCCCACTGTGTCATTGACAATGGCAACCACATTCAGCTCCACTGCCTGTACACAAAAGGACACTGCTAGTTGCTGGGCAACATGGTTGTCACAGTAGCCAGTACTGGACCCAGAGGTCTCCACTGCAGAGCACCCAACTCCGTGTCAGGAAGCAGCAGACCCTTGCTCCCTTCAAGGCCTGCCACAGCCCCAAAGCACTCCTGGGGCAGACTACTTACTTGTCTGCGCCTGATGGCTTCCCGCAGCAGACACACGACATCTTGGCCCTCGCAGTCTGATGCACTGAAACCCTTTGTCCAGTTCAGGAGGATACCCTGGGTAGGGCAAGATAGGCAGGAAGATGGGGGCCCCCTGGAGTACCATTTGGCCTCTCCCAAAGCCTGCATCCCATCAGAAGCATATAATTTTCCCACTCCCCAAGCAGGATTCTATGCCCACTCCACCATATGCTTGAGGGACTTGCCCTCTACCCCTTCCAACTCCCTAGGAGGCTTCTGGTGTGAAGAAACCTATTAATAACCATCCAACCTACATACTCTATTATTAGTGCCAGAATACTAGGATGGTCTGAGAGTCTGGCCATTTTAAGATGTCTGCCCAGAAGGAATCGCTCTTCATATTTGGGTTAGGAATGAACACAGCTGTTAAAATGAGCATTGTGTGTGAGAAAGGGCAGAATGGAAAAGGCTCAGAGGTCCAAATAATAACAGATTCTTTTTGACTAGGAGGAGTCACTTGAGAGGAAGGAAATCTAGGAATTAGGGATAGAACCACATCAATAGGAGATTCACCTGTGTGCCCCAGAGTGAAGGACAAATGGAAAAACCAGAACCCAGACACATGGTCAGGATGGGAGGGGACAAGACAGACAAGCCTTTACTGTGAGAATATTGGCCTTAAATTGTGAACTTAGTGATAGGGGATTGACTACATTTAGGACTGTTCTTTTCTTTGTGTGCTTTCTCTGAGGGGAGGGGATGGGGGAATAATTCCACTGCTATTAGGGGAAAATGACAACTCTGCCCAAAGTAGGAGCATGGAGAGCAGGCCTGGAAATCTTTGGGGCAGGAGATTTTAGGGATACTAACTGACATTTCCCCCAATATTTCCTTTTGTCCCTTTTCCACATAGCCACAGCTAGAGTGTCCATGCTCATTTTCTCAAAAACAGAAACCAGAGAGAGTGATGGTAAATGAGAGGGAGGGCCAGTTTGGGGGAGACTGGGTCACGAGTAGTAGCAAAGTTTCCCTGCTCCTAGATAAGGGGAAGACCACTGCTCTGAGAAAGTCACAGTCAGGTTTTGGATTGTTTACTGAGAAAGGTATCCCATGCCCTCCACCTGGGTCACACCTCTGTTAGAGAGGGGAGGGCATAGAAGGGATTTGCATGATCTGAGAGCAAAGGTGGCCTTTGCCCTCCTTCACCACAGAAGGGAAGGTGAGAAGAAGTGGCAGAGTCCGGAAAGCTGGGGCCTGGGTATCTCTGGACTTCCTTGTGTGCCTGGCCATTCTGTACAGCAAAGAACACTGTGCAACCAAGAGAGGCCCCTACCTGGGGCAGGTGGTCCCCAAATTTTAACATTGTTTTCACCTCTCAAATGAATGTGTGCTCAACACAGGAAGTAAGATCAGTTCTAGAAAATTAACAAGACCATGTTTTTGCATATGGAGTCCTACCTGCTTCTTGCACCTTACAAGGAATAATCAAAAGGCATCAGCATGCTCTGCCACCCCAGGAAGGCACCCAACACCAAGCCAGGCATAAAAGGGACACAAGCAAGGCCAGAAAAGGGAGAAAGGACAGAGAAACTGTGCCACCACAAGCCCCTTCAAGAGACAGGAACAAACGCTGCTCCCTGAAATATACCAGGGCTACGGGGGAGACAGCGATGTGTCCCCCATCAGACCTGATCTAGGCCTGATTGCTCCCAAGTGCCCAGACCTAATACTGGCTCTACTCTCCTACTCATTGCAGCCCCAGAGGTATCTTTATTCCTTTCCACCTCAGGTTTCTTCATGGCCCTGGATTCCAGGCCTCTTCACAAAACCCCTCCATGTGTTCACAGAGGTGATATCCAGGGAAACTGAGGCTGGATGCAGGCCCAGCCCAGCAGTGCTTTGGGCTATCACCACCCCCTAGCCCAGGACACTTGAAGCCCTCTCCCCTGCCTCCTGCCTACCCCATGAAGGGTATGAGGGTGGAAAACCCTTGGGATGACTTTTCCTGGCCCTCCCTCCCTCACCTGGTCCAGGCCGAGCTGCCTGCATGGGAAGGAGAAGGTGAAACCCAGGGGAAGGCTCTGCCCACTCAGGCCCTGCTTCTGCTGGAAGTCCACAATGCAGTCCACGATGTGGTCAAAGAGCTGAGGGGTAGGGCAAGTCAGAGGGGTGAGCCATCGCTGGCCCTTCCCCTCCTCTAACATCAGGCCCAGTCTATGAGTACCTGCTGTCCAGAGCCCTGGGCCACGTATTCCGGGATAGAGTAGACCTGGCTGGTGATCCGCACAACTCCAGTAGCAACACGCACCAGAAGGACCCGGAAGTTGGTGCCCCCAAGGTCCAGGGCCAGGAAGTCCCCACGCTCTGTGGGACAAAGACTCTCAGTGCCACGACAGAGCTGGTGGTTCTACCACACTACATACTGTGACCCCGCCAGGAGTCTGTATCCCAGGCCCACACTCAGTCCAGGTCCTTACCGCTGCCATTAGGCGTGGCCCGGACATAAGTAGGCAGCATGCGCAGGGAGGAGGCCTCCCCACGGAGCCCCTTGTCCATGGCCTTCCGCATCTGAGCCTGTATCACTGCCAGCTGTTCCCGGTTCAACCGGAAGTCTGCCAGGGTCTCCTCCAGCAGGCGCCGGTGGGCAGCCAGGCGGGCAGCCACAGCAGTCACCATTGCCACGCCCCGGCCGCCCCCATCCACAGAGGGAATGAAGGAGACATCACATTCAGGGACCAGGAGCATCACTGTCTCCTGCAGGACACTGAGGAACCTACACAGACACATACCAGGCATACCCTGGCTTGGCAGTTGGCCATGACCCCCAGAGCGTGCTGAAGCCATGGGCCCCATCACTTCAAATCACTTCAATTCTAAACCCTTCTGAGGACCAACTATATGTGTGCTCCCCGCCTGCCCCCTCCCTTTCATACCCAAAGAGAAGCACCTTTAATCTCCTCTGACCTTTTCCAGGCATCCTCATCCCCATCTGGCTTCACTTAGGTACCATTCGTACCCATTTCTTTGAACCCATGGTACCAGAGTGGGTGTGTATCTCAAATGCATACATGTTCCTGCTACCTACTCACACAGGATCATGTGTGTGTATTCCCAATACCTGGGGTGTTGCTCAAACACTTGGCCTCCAGTGGCCACAGCAATCTGAAGCATCTGCTGCTCCCTACTGTGCTGGAGGCGGAAGAGGACAGCAGCCAGGGCGGCGGCACAGAGCCGGGCAGCCCTTGTGCACACGGCCATGCACACATGTTGCACAATCTTCACATCCAAGGCCCCCACACTCAGGCCCAAGTCCTGCAGGATAGTGTGCACGCGGGTGGCCCCATCTGAGGGGCTGGAGAGAGGGCACGGGGCATTGCTTTGAGTTCAAGTAGCCCAAAAGATCTCTGCACCCCATGGCTACCTCGGGGACAGAGCATCTTCCCCTCTCCCAAGCTAAGAAACTGGTTGTCTAGGCCCACTTGCTTCCCCCACTCACTCCTCCATCTCAGCCACATGCTTCAGGGGGATGCTGCCTTGGCTCAGCAGGGCAGGAGAGGTGCAGCCACCAAAGAGGACCCCATGCTGGGTGAGGTAAGCCAGCACCAGCCGCACCAGCTCACCCAAGTATAGGCCTCCAATCATCTTCTCAAACCTGCAGGTGGGAAGGGTATTTGGACAGAGCCTTTCCTAAGCCTTGAACCCACCTGGCCCCACCTCCAAGAACCCCCAAAGAGAGGTCATTTTCTTTGCCCAGATTGTAGGTTTCAGAAGCAAATGGCCTCTTGGGAGACAGGTGGATGTTTACCCAAACGCTGATGCTCCCTCTGGCTTAGGTTAGGTTTAGAGGGGTTCCTGGAGTGTGATAGGACTTAAAAGAGGGCAGGGTACACTTTGCTCAGCTACCCCCAGTCCCAACCCCTATCAGGGCTCACCAGAGTCAAGAATAAGTTTGGGCCAAGGTTGAAAACTCTAGGTTCTAGAATCTTAAGCCTTTCCTTCTTGGAGCCTGGCCAGGAACCCCTGATGCAGTCTGGATACCCTAAAGGCCAGAGTATAGGTCAGCAGAGAGGTAGGAGAGCAAAATAGTGACAGGGCCTAGAGCAGAAGGTCAAGCCACCTCTGGGCACCAGGATTCAGAGACTCGAGGTCCAGCGTGCGGTCGAAGGTAGTCAGCACTGGCCCCAAGGCCTCATCACCACCGAAGGAACCCCACTCAATGCTGACGCAGACTCGGCCTCGGTCCTCGTCCAGCACTGCCACGTGCCGGGCCTCCTCCATGTAACACGCATTGGTACCAGTGTCTGGCAGGGATGACCCCATCAGGGCCTGTCAGTAGGCAACCATGTTCCCTGCCCACCATAAAAAATGGCCCATGACTCACCTACAACAAGCCCAACCTCACATGGCCCAAGCCCTGGCTCGCAGCCCATCATGGTGCCTACTGTGTCATTCACCACAGCAACCACATCGATGTTGTAGGCCTGGACAATGGAGAGGGCAGAGGTCAAGGCCAACCTGAGTGGGCAAAGTAGGGAACCTGGGGGATGGGCAGGGATGGACCCCTGGCTTTATGGAGATACCCAGAGTCCACAGAACACATATGTCCATATGCCCCACACATTTGTGTCATATATACTCTAACCCCCACCCACCCCCACCCCAACTTTTATTAGCTAGTCCTTCCATCTACACCCCGTTTGGCTCCTCTGCCTCCATCCAGCTCAGGCCTTGGGAGTCTCAGAGGCTCCCAAACTCAGCCAATACCTCCAGAACACCAGTGTTCCCCACAGGACCAGGACCAGGGCGAGCAAGCTGGGCACCTTGACAACTGCACTGTAAGCACCTTCTTGCTAACTCTCATCCAGACCTAGCTACCCAAGCCTGCTCTTCCCATCCCTGATTTACAGCCATTCTCATAGCACCGAGGTGGTTAGTCCAGATGGATCCAGATCCACCTTTCTTAGGCATCCAGACCTTCCTCCCCAACCCTAGCTTATGCACCTGGCAAACTCTGCTTCAAGTCCCTGCCTAAGCAGGGTGCACCCTTCCCAGTGCCCCCAGTCATCACAACCACCTACTCAACAGGGATAATATTTTGTTGGAATTGTGAGGTCCTTGAGGACAGTCAAGTCTTTTCATCTCTGTTTCCCTTCATGGTCCTGAAACTTTATTTGACCTTTCTTAGCCTCAGTCTCCTAACCTATAAAATGGGAATGGTAGCAGAATTAACCCAGGGTTGAACTAGGTAAAGGAAATAACCAGAGAAGGAAAGCAGGCCTTCCCAGAAGCACAAGCACAGCCTCTGTGTACCAAGCCACATGGGCAGCCCTCTCCATCCTTGCCTCCACTCACCCCCTGCCTCTGGATGGCATCTCGCAGCAACTGGACTACATCCTGGCCTTCTACACCACTGCACCTAAAACCTTTGGTCCAGGAAATGAGGGTGCTCTGGGGGCAGAAAAGCCAGGTTATTCCAATAGCCTTCACAGGGTTGTAACCCACTGTCCCCATGCCCTCTCTGCCTTACCCTGTCCAGGCCAGTCTGGTGACAAGGGAAGGAGAAGCTGAACCCAAGCTGTAGACCCTGATTGCCCACAGGGAGTGTATCCAGGAACTTAGAAAGGCAGCAGGCGGCAAAGTCAAAGAGCTGTGGGATAGGTGGGGGTCTCAGCTCTGCCAACTGGACCCCAGCTGCCCAGCCAGGCCCCAGAGACTGGGCAATGAGTGCTCACCTGCTGACCAGGACCCAGCATCACCTCTTGGGGGATCACAAACTCCTGGCTCTGGGGCTGCATGCTGTGCCCCTCAGTGCCAGTCAGGGTCACCCACAGAACACGCAGTGAGGCCCCTGTGGCCCCCAGCTCCAGTACCACAAAGTCTCCTTCCTCTGGGAGCAAACAGATCACAGAAAACCATGCAGCTGGCAAGACCAAACCCTCTGCCTCCCAGAAACATTCCCAAGGCCTGCAAAGTCCCATCAAGGGAACTTAAGAGTTGGGAACCTTAGAGACAGGGATAGGGATAAGGAACTCACCCCTCCCCGAGATCAGAACCCTCTTCCCAGGCCTGGCAACCTTAGTCTATGCCACCCACCAGTGCCATGTGGGATGGACCCCACGTATGTGGGCAACATTCGGACAGCAGGAGCAGGGCTGGTCTGTCCCCCAAGTGCCTGCTCCATGGAGCCCAGGAGGCTGGTTTGAATTTGCTGCAGCTGTGGCTCCGTCACCTTGAACTGCTGCAGGCAATCCTGCACCTGGGGAGAAACAGGCCAACAGCTGCATGGGAGTCCAATTGGCCTAGCCAAGTTCCCTACTCCTGTCAGGACAGAGGCCAGCCCTCCCCAGATGGCACCTCCCTCACCAGTTCAGCATAGCCCCCTCCCTCAGCTTCCTCAGGGGATGGCCAGAGCCTTGCCTGTGCCCTCTCTGAGCCTTGCTGCCCTCCCCAGCAGCTGCCCAGACCCACTCCTCTCCTCTTCATGCACCCTAGCTCTCTTGCCACCCACAGCCTGCACCCAGCTCCTGCATCCTCAGAAGGCTCCTTTCTGGAGGAAAGACCCACCCACTTCCTCTTCCTGCTCCATTCTTCATGGCTCCTTCTCACCACCCATACCCCCTCCCCTCTACTTCTTTGAATTCAGTGTTTGGCAAGGCCTCTCTCCTGTCACACCATGACTAATTCACTCTGGCTCCCCAGTACCCAGAAGCAAGCTGCTCAGTGAGTTGTCCTTGAATGAGCAAATGAGTGAAAAAAATGTGAACAAACTTCAAATTCAGGTTCTAGCCACTTGACTCTGGAATCTGAGCAAGAGCTCAGCCCAGGAGACTTTGGAGGCTACTCTGGAGGACAGTCATTACATTAGTCGGCCATCCTTCCCACAGACATTGATTGAGACCCTACTACATGCCAGCACTATTCTAAGCACTTCATACTGCAGAACCAGACAAGTCCTGCTCTTGTGGGATTCCAGTGTAGGGGGAAGAAAATAAGCAAATAAACATATAATGTGGTTCTAGTACTAATGACAGCTGTTAAAAAAAAAAAAAGGTAGGGATTGTAGTCCAAGAATGACCTGGAGAAGAAAAGGTATTTTTAGATATGGTCAGGGAAGGTGTCCCTGAGGAGGTGACCTAAGTAAAGGTAACAAGCCCTTTGATAATCTGGGGAAAGAGCATAAAGGGATTTTCTTCAGAGTGAGGGGATGGATGTGAGGGAAGACTGGGCCAGAGGTAGATCAGGATGAAAGGAGGGTTGGGAGTGGGCAGGCAGGGAAAGCAGAAAATGGGACACACCAGGTTCCTTGCTACCACAAATCCATTGCAGGGAGCTTAAGAAGAGCCCCAGTACCTCACCTCTGTGTGGAAACCTCCCCTGATAGCCTCTGGGCCATTCTTAAGTGGTCCCAGCAGCTTCCCTGTGTTTATTGGACAGTCCCAGTCCACAGTTCATTCTCCTGGGACCTAGCCCATCCCAATGCTCACCACTGCCTGTCCCCACACTAGGCAAGAATTCAAGCCCTGCTGCCCTACAGTAGAACCGTATCTGTAAAGTAACCACTGAGTAACTCATGGATACTCCTGTAATGTAACTCCTGGATAAGGAGGCAAGGAGAGCCAGGGAAGAGGCTGCCCACTGAGGGAGATGGGGGTCAGTCAGTCCCATCCCTGCTTTAGGAAGAGAATTGGAAACAGATCCCTCAGGAGGTAAGTGATCCTAACGGGAGTGCCAGATGCTCAGTTCCATGTTTACATTATAGCAAATGCTTCTAACAGCTATACATGCTAGGAATTATTCCTATGCTACAAATGAGGAAACTGAAGCCCAGAGAGGGACAATCATCTGCCTAACCCAAGCAGCTATTAAGAGGAAGGGTGGATTGATTTGAAATAAGATCTAACTGCATAAAATGTTTCTACATAAATGTGAAGCTTTATGAAAACTAGTAATTTCACCTTAAAAAAAAAACCAAAGCTGGTGAAGGTTGTAGCAATAAAACCCATAGGACCTGGGATGAGAAAGCTTGCGTCTGAGTCCCCACCCTACCACTTCCTGGCTGTGTGGCTCTAAGCAAGTTAAACCTCTTTCTGAAGTAACAGTCACCTGTTGCGCAAAACCAAAAGAAGCCGCCAATGTCAAGGGCCATGTCTTGTTCATGGCTCTATCTCAGGGCCACGCAAAGTGGCCGGCTCAAGACAGGCACTCTGGAAGGATTTTTTTGATTGAGTGGTTGTGATGGCATAAGAATGAAAGGTGGTAATATATGTGAAAGTTTAAACTGCTGTTCAGATGTGAGGGTGTTTTATTATTGCTTTTTGACAATAGCAGAGTTAAGGGAAAGTCAATGGCCTGAGCAAACTGATGTTTTGCTTCCTTTTCCTCCCAGGTGCAGTGAGAAGTGTAAAGAGTAAACAGGAGAAGGCAGAAGCCTCAAGAAATAGAGGACTTCTCTGGCCAATTGTGGTGGGCATGCAGCAGCCAGGAAAAGCTACTGGAGTCTCCCCACAACCTCTCCCAAGAAGACTAGGAAGAGACCTCAGCCAGGAGAGCAAGGAACAAAGCATTAGAGAGGTGAATCCAAATGGCTTCAATGCTGGCTTCTCTGACCAATTTGCATGGGCTAAACCACACACTCTACAGACCCTGAGAGCCCCATCATCTCACCTGCTCACAGGGGAGCAATTTTCTCCTCTGTCAAGCAGGAACAGAAAGACCACCCACTTCTCAGAAATGCTGCTAGCACTAAGAAGACAGTAGACACAAAGGGGTGGAACAGTGGCTGGCCCATAAGACATACTCAGTGAAATGTTGGTTCCCTTCCTCAGAGCATAAAGTACAACCTGCCTGCAGAGCTGATTCCATACCCCCTCCGGTGACTAAAAGGACCTGGGGAAGGAGTCTGGAAGGGAGTCTGTGACAGGACAGGGCTCTGACCACATGTGGTTAACTAACCTCCTTAGATCACTGTGTTAAGGGGAGCCAAGAGTGAGCCCTGTGTTACTGAGGGAGACCCAAGGCCACAGGAAACTTGGCATTCCTGTGAAGTCCCCCAAAGCCAAAGGGAACTGTCTTTAAGTTACAGATGTGTGCCATGGAGCCAGCAGGGCAGATGTGGGACCTAGCAGGTCAGGCACCACGGTCCAGTCATTGTTCACTTCTGTGACCCAGCTATGTTCACACAGAGGAAATGTTTATAGCAGTGTCTGGGCAGATGTTGGACAAGGGTGAAGTGGGTGCATGAGCTGCAGTGAGGGGTAATATCCAACAGATGTCAGGATGGGCTGGAAAACTAAACAAACTGCAGGAAACAAACTGAGGACACTTTCAGGGGTGCCCCATCGGTGCAGGTCCGTTATCTCCATTAGCTCACTTAATCCTTCAAGTGGGTAGGAGGATTAGACTATATTTTCCTCTATTCCTGATGAAGAAACAGAGACTAAGAAATATGAAATGACTTACACAAGTGTTTCCTGCTCGAGGGTGTGGTATGCAAGGGCTTGTAAATCTTGGTTAAGGTGACAGAGAGAGAAAGTCACTCAGATAACCTGAGGCATATGGACTATGCTGCAAAATAGCCTCCAAGTTGAGTTCAGCACTGAAATCATCTCTGTGTGACTGACCACGGTGGCCGTGTTAAGGGAGGGAGATGTGCAGGAGCGACCAGAATAACAGGGAAAGGAACGGTCTGAAGAACCCAGTTCTCTATCAGAAAACCCCAAGATGGTCGTTTCTAAACTGCATCAATCCATTTGCCTTGCAGGGGCGGTGCCTGTGTGGCAAGGCAGCAAAAGCAATGTTTGGAGTTGAAACACCTCAGCTCAAGCTCCTGTCATGCCTTAAACTCAAGTCATCTCTCTAAACCCTCTCTTTCTCAGCTGCAAACTGTGGAGATAATCCCCACCTTGCAGTCATGTGAAGCCTTGAAGGAGATAGTTACCAGATTAAATATGAAATGTTTGGTAAACTGGAAAAGGCTGCATGGGTGTGAGCCCACCAACCCACATCTTCACCTGATTCTGTTCTTGACAGCCTTGAGTAGGCATGAGACAGAAAACAGTGCTGAACTTACCAGCTCAGAGCTGTCTGAGGGGTACAGCAAACTGTCCTGGGGACAGCCAGGGGTTCCTTCCCCTTGCTGCAACCCTACAGGCCCAATGGAGTCCATGTGGTTCCACAATGGGGCGTGGCCACCTATGGGAGGAAAGGGACAGCCTGGGTAAACCACATACTCTACAGTCCCTCAGAGGCTGTGACCCAGACCCTTACCTTTCTCCCTTCTGGAGAGTACCAGGAGAGTCAGAACCTCTGATCACCAAAGATACTGTAGTAATCAGCCAGAAAGCCCTCATTTTCCAGAAGCGAGTACAACAAGAAAGGTTGAGAAGGCTAATTTCTAATCTTGGTGCAATGCATTCACTATGTCATCCATTCACATTTACTGATGCCTGTGCTGGATGCTGGGGTACAGACGAAGCAGACCTAGGCTTCACTCTCAGGAACCTCACAGCCTTACCAATTATCACAGTATAGTTAACACAGACAGCAAGAGATAGACATACTACTGTGCTTGGGAGTTCAGCGACATTCTAGAGGTCTGGAACAAAGGTATGAGGTAAAAAGGGGCCAAAAACCTGCTGGAGAAGCAGACAGGTTGGACTATGTATGGCCTTAATCCCAAACTAAGTGTGTGAATTTCTTCCTAAAGGGAGACATGGAGAGGGTGGATCTGTACTTCAGAAAGAGATTTTTCAGAAAGGCGCACAACTTTGGGCAAATCATTTATGACTTCTTTGAATTCAGTTTCTTCACCTGCAAGGGGAAATAATACCTACCTTTACAAGGTTGTCGTGAGAATTAAGTGGAATAACATGTGAAAAAATACTTCAGGAAATTTAGTGTGCAACATGAGCATTGGCTCATGGGTGGGTTTTGCAAGGTGAAATGATGCAGTACAGAGAGCCCTGTGCTCAGAGTTAGATGCAGCTCTCCACAAAGAAGCAATACTGGGTCTCTAAAGTCTTGGGGCCTAATTTTCTTCATCTGCCAAATGCGGACCAACATATATCAAAGGGCTGTGTGGGGCAAATGAGACTACGAGAGCAAAAGAACCTTGCTCAGAGTATGCCTTCAGATTTACTTAGTTGAATCTGAATATAAACTCTATAAGCCTCAATTTCCTCTTCTATAACAGGACAAAAATTCAGTTCTGGTGTGGATTAAAGTGTTAATGGTTCTTTTCTCTGCATACTGTAGAGGACTGTAGAAATGTCAGGTATTTTGCCCATTCAAGCTAGAGGAGGTATTGCTGTTCCAGGCAGTTCCCAAGGGAGACTTCAGCGATTCAGGCACCCTTCAGGGGTGGAGGAAAAGGGAAATGCATTGGAGGGCTCAAGATGAACAGAAGGCATCTGTCCATTCAATCACTCCATCTCTCTTCCTGTAACATCAGAATTTGGGGAATGATACCTTCCTACCCCTACAACCCCTCTTCACCTTCCACTCCCATCACACCCATGAATTAGCCCTTCCTGTGGTTACCTATGGTCTCCTGACTGCCCAATCCCACCCAGCCTTTTCCTCAGTCCTCACCCTTCCTGCCCTTTCAGGGATGAAAAGCCATAAACATTCTCTTGCAAAATTCTTTTGTCCTTGGACTCAACAGCCAGTTTCTCCTGGGCCTCCTTCCTGAGTCTCTCATAGTCTTCAGAACTCCTCTCCTCTCCCCTTAAACAATGGGGCTCCCAGGTTTCTGAACATAACCCTCTTCTCTACGCTCCCTCTTTATCTCACTCACTGCCAAGTTTGACTAAACTGCTATGTGAGGGCTCCCAAATCTACCTGTCTTGAGCCAAATCCCAAATTCCTACAGTCAGTTAGACATCACTCTCCAGATGCTGGAGGGCCTCCTCATACTCAATGGTCAGCCACATTTATTTCCTCCTTTACTTTTTCCCATGAAACTCTTCTCCTGCCCTCCACCTTGGCTGGAGGTGTCAACGCTGCTCACTCACGCAGCTCTCTGAATTGCCTGCAGCAATCCCTGACCCTCACCTCCTCTATACAAGCATGTTTCAGGCTCAAAGAGCTGAGAAGAGAAAGAGCTCTTCTGTGTCCCCTTCTCCTGGTTCTCATGGCCCTAGACTCTCCTCCCATTTGATTATTCCAACAGCCTCCTGATACTTCTGCTCATCTCCAGATGCTCACCTCCCTGCCTCACCAACTCCCAATACATCACTGGAGTGACTGTACAAAAATAGATTTTATCAGGTCATTCCCCAGCTCTATCTCCCCTAGGAAAGGAAGTAAACTTTCATAACATTGTGATTGCTCCCACTGCAGAAAAAAATTTCCAAAACCCTTTATCACAGTATTGCAACCCCTTCACACTGTCCTCAACCCAAGCTTCCTCTCTTGCTACCCCCTTTTATACTCTGGCCACGTTGACTATAAGCCTTCTCCTGTCTCTTGCTGTCCAGCTTTTATTCATGGTGTTCCTCAAGCTTGGAATTGCCCTGAGTCATCTCTGCATCTCCTGTCCAGCACAGCATTTGGCATAGGGAGGTACTAGTACAGCTTGGAAAAACTGGGGATGGGGGCAGGAGTAGGGGGGTGTTCTTATTCAGAGAACCAAGAAACCGGTTTCTAACAAATCTTTTTGAAGTCATATATACCTACACTCAGTTTCTAAATCTGTCAAATGGGAATGTTAGATCACTCCACGGAAGTCACAGGTCTGCTTCAAGGATAAAATGGGGTAACTGATTTACAGTCTTTGGAAAGGCCAGGGCTATACATGGAGTGAGCTTTCACTCTCCTTTTGAGGCCCAGCCAGCTCATTCATTCCCTCTTCCATTTGACATTTAACACTTCTATATGCCCGACTGAAGTTTCCCCCAAGAAAGCACAGTATTCACATTCCTGATAAATGTGTTCATGTCTGCCTCTTCTAGCCGACTCCCTGTGGGGAGGGACATATCTTCCCCCTACCACCACCACTAGATCCCAAGAACCCAGCCCAGGGTCTGCATACATTTGAATAACTGTAAACCTCTGGGCTTAGCTCAGCTCAGTCAGCTGCATGGAGTGAGCCTTCCTTCTGAAAGATATCACAAGGACCCCTGCAGAGGGTGGGGGCCACCATCAAGGAGCAGCTGGCTTCATTTTTCCAGCTTTCACTCTTCCAGTGTGGGCCAAACAGGACAGATGAGGACAAGGGGCTGGGGCTGAAGCAGGCAGGAATTAGACACAGGAGGCTCTTACCGGGAAGCAGCAGCAGTTGTTCAATCTTCTCAGGCCTGAGCTCTTCTCTCTGTGTGAGGCATCACACTGACCTGGTTTGCACCCAAAAGTGAAACTCACAGGTGACCTGAGTTATTATGTCCCACCCTCTTCCTCAGCCACCACTTACCAGACACCAGCTAATTCAGGAAGGTGCACTTCCTTCTGAGTCTGCCCTAAGAAGAGTCCAGAGTAGGCAGAGCCATCATGCAAACTTAAGCAAGACCACAGGAAGTTGGAGCCCTGAACTAGGTTAAGGACCCTGGGACGTCCCCTTTGCAATGCTGGGAGTTCCATCTATTTTACAAACACTCCAGAGTCTGAGTTTTGAGGTGGTAGCTCACCTTTAGAAAGGAGCTGGAGGAGCCTAAACTAAGAAATATGCAGTACAATGGACAATGTTCCAAAATGTGGAAGTTCTGAGTGAGAGGCAATACAGGAACACAAGAGGAAGAGACTAACTCAGCCCTAGAGTGGGCAGGGCAAGCTGAGGCTGAACCTTGAAGGAAGAACAGCAGTATGCTGCCAGAAGTGGTTCTTGATAAAGAGAACATGTATGAAATCATAGAGCACAAGCCACTTTCACAGAATGGGGTGCAGCTCCAAGGGTATGAAGAGGATACATGTAGGGAAGAATATATGGTAGAAAGAGGTAGCAGCTAGACTGTAGAATCTGGCCTTAGTCTGTAGGCCAGCGGGGAACAGTAGGTTCACACTGTGGGTCTTCTTTACTGGGAAGAGAAAAGGAGTCCTAGACTGCAGTGGAGCTGTTGGCCACCAAGCTCATTTACCCCTGAACTAGTCTTGAATGCATAGAATCTTGAAGTTTCACTGTGTCCATTGCCATGGTCCTGAATATTCGTGTCCCTGTAAATTCTTACAATGAAAACCTAATGCCCATGGTGATGGTATTAAGAGGTGAGGCTTTTGGGAAGTGATTAGGTCATTAAGGCTAGAGCCCTAATGAATGTAATTAATGCCCTCATAACAGAGGCTCCAAGAGAGCTCCTTTGCCCCTTCTGCCATGTGAAGTTGGCAGTCAGCAATCTGGAAGAGGGCCCTCACCAATGCGTGCTGGCATCCTGATCTCAGACTTCCAGCCTCCAGAACTGTGAGAAATAAATGTATGTTGTTTATAAGCCACTCAGTCTGTATTATACTGTTATAGCAGCCCAAAGACTAGAATACTCATCATGGTGGGAGACTAGACAAAGTGTACCAACTTTTACTGCAGGGAAATTAGTGAGCAGATAGTTTAAAACTTCGGGCTATCACATCAGCAGTGACCCTACCATTATCCACAGATAGTAAATGACCTCTACACGACACCAGGATAGAGACCAGGGACAGTGGCTCTTCTATCAGTTTTGCCATGACTCGGCCTGGAAACATGCCACATGTCAGCCCTGCTACACAGTTCATGGGTATCAATCAGACATACAGGCTCTGAAAGCCAGGGAAACTGGGGATGGGGATGGAGAGGACAGAGTGACTGTCATCCACAACATAACATCCTGCCTAGCCTGGGGCCCAGTTCTCTCTCAGGTTTGTTTAGTTGGGAGAATATGGAACTGAACGTGAAAGGCCCAGTTGACTCACGCTGACAGCCAGTCTATAATTAGCTGAGCAAGCTGAGGATATGTGCCTGATGGGCAATGCCAGGGATCTTCAACTGCATTTCTGTAAGTCCTGTGTCAATTTCCCCAGAAGCAGTGGTCTTAGCACCCTATACATTATCAGGGAAGGTCTGTGTCAGGGCCTAGTGAGGGTGGAGGTAGCCTGGACTTGACATCTGTGAGCAGCTGTGACAACCTGGGTGTGGGAGAGGCATAGCAATGGCCAGCAATTCTCTTCAGATACCAGAAGGCCACTGATCAACAAGGGGAAGGACAAGTCCTGACAAGGCTCCCTCACAGCCCCTTAGTGAGTTCCCCCAGCTGTCCAGAGGAAACTAAGGAATAAGGAGCAGTGGTCAGCTGGGGGTAAGGTGGTCTGGGCTGGGAGCCAGGCCCTCCCTGATCTGAGCTGCTCATAGACTTGCTTCTTACAGTTGATGCTGCCCCGACGCCAGGCACACAGGCCCTCACTAAATTCTCCACCATTCCCTCCACACCTTTTAGTCAGGATGTGCCTTGCAGCTCTCCTATACTCATCAAGCTGCTTCTTACTGTTAGGTCTTATTCATGCTCATCTGTCTGGAATGACTATTTGCTGTCTAGCCTTTTCACCTAATTTCAGATGCCGGGGAGCCTTCCTTGACAAGCTTTTCCTGGCCCTGACCCCAAATGAGTGTGGCCTATTAATCCCATAATGTCTAGGATTCCCTTTTATCATTGCATTAACAACAGTCTATTACAATCATCTGTTTAGGTCTAATTCCTTCCCACCCCTCACTGTACTATGGCTCCCAGAGAATGTTTCTTATTCATCTTTGGAGCCCCAGGACCCAGTTCTAGACCTGACCTGGAATAGGTATCATTAATTTTTGTTAAATTGAATAACCCTCCCACAACCTCAATAGTCCAGGGCTTTTGAAACTGAGAGGAAATAAATATCCTCTTCCTGCTTTCCTGGTGCATATGGCTTTGGCAGCCTTTCCACTCTGGGTTTATACATTCTTCCATCTTCCCACTAGTAGTATCATCCACCTACTACCTATCTTCCTTCCCCTCTCTCCAGTTGCCATCTGCTAAATCAACTTAGAGCCAAAGCTGCTCTGCCTCACAGGTAAGAATGAGCCCATCCAAACTTAAAATTTCCATTGAGCTTTGTGACTCAAGTGGGACGTAGGAGGTAGTGTAGTACAGTACAGAATGCATCAGCTCTGGTGTCAGACCTGTGTTTGAATTCCACCCCATTTACCAGTTCTATGATCTTAGGCAAATTTCTTCACTTCTCTGAGCTTGTTTTCCATGTTTAAAACAGAGAGATTAATTTCCCCATAGGATGTCCCTTAGGTGAGTTCCCCCAGAAGCAACCTGAGTGCAAATAGTCTAATTAGGAAGCAACACAGGCCAGGGCTAGGATTAGAGTGATGCATGTGAGGTGCCTAGCTACAAAATAAAAAGAGGTCTTCTTAGGTTCGGACAAGTGTCAACCCTGCCCTTACATGACCCTGAGAGTAAGGGTCATGTACCTCACCCTACTACCAGCCCTGATCCAGGAAGCACTGACAGGGAAGTTGGAGGTGAAGTAGGAAGGGAAGGAAGCCAACAGAGTGTACATAATTAAGTTGCTCCTGGAAGCAAAGGAGGCTCAATCCCACAGGGGAACTCTGTGAGACAAGTAAAATACACCTACGTGAAAGGTGAAGAAACTGGTATATATATCCCCCAACTTCCATCTTTCACTGGTTGAGGGCTGTCTCACAGGTCCTACCTCTGTGGCACTCCCAAGTCTACACAACATACAAGCCTAGACAAGTGCTAAGGAAGAGAGCTGCAGGTTCTTGCAATAGGACTTGAGAGTATGTAATAGAATGGTGAATGCCCAGGGCAAATAGGTACAGCCTCTGCCAACAGAATGTTGTGAAGGATGAAATGAAATAACACAGCCATAATGCCTAACACAGATTAGTCCTCTTCTATTTCCCAATTTATGGCAATAATTGTGAACTTCATGGAGCTTCCCAGCTCTCCATGAGTTCGCAACACCAGAACTACTGCTTCCTATCTTTCCAAAGAGTAAACAAACAAACAAACAAACAAAAACAAATGGCCCTAGGCAAGTTCTCTATGTCCAGGACCCAACCTTGCTATGGAAGCTTGCGGTGGCTGATGGAGCTAAGATAGTTGAAGGCTCAACTCCCATAAAAACTGTCTCCTTGTGCATCTCTACCCACCTCTCTCTGGCTTTTCCACCTCTCACTGTAACACTACTTAATGACATATGAAACTAGCATCAGATTAGTAACACTTGCTGCCACTTACTCATCATCTTCTCATGCAACACTGTGCCTTTATATACATTGTCTAACTCCTCAGAACCCTCTAAGTATGATTCTTCCTGTTTTATGGAGAAGGACATTAGGTCTCAGAGGTTAACTTGTGTCAGAAGCAGAGGTTCAGACTCAGGCTGACACTCTTCCCACTGACTTTGCCTCCTCACCATCTCACTAATCCCCCCTCCCACAGGACCACTGGCAACAGGGAGAGTAAGACAAATGAGCAGCATTTACCAAAGAGGGGGAGGGGGCAGGCTAGAGGGCACTGGGGAGATGGCTGTTTCCCCTGACTCCCCATCAGCTAACATATAAGCTATTGGTCCTGGCCCTGCTGATCCACATCCTCCTCCAAATATTTGCCACTGACCCATGTTCTAGGGAAACTGCTCAATTTTAAGCTAAGTAATTCACTTTCCAGAATAAACCCTTTCCCTTTTCTTATCTTCAGGCAGAGAAAGAAACATACTATTCCCTGTTTATAGAGCTCTATCTGCAATAAATTGCCATTTAACAAGAGAGAAGACTAGTAAGAGTTAAGCTGATGGGACATAACTGACAAATTACTTTTCATTAGAAGGAAAACAGGAAAACTATCAATACTAGAGTCAAAATACAGCATTTCCTTTAGGACTGCAGACGAGGGGCACTGTTGTTTCACTGCCATGGACAAAAAGTGGCTTTATTTGTTTCTCAGCCTTTGTTTGCTCATATGAAAACTGGGGAGTATAATATATACCTCACGGGGTAGCTGTGAGGATTAAATGAATGGACGTACATTGCCTGAACCATAGTAGCTGCTTGAAAAATAACAGCTATTATTTATGTGACGCTGGTCAGTGTCAGTGCCATCCAACACCAAGACACAGAAGGAGCAAAAAATGAGCCTGCCATTCTGCCTCCTTCTAACTCAAAGAGCTTGTGTGCAAAAGCACATTAAGCAGAGAACAGTGTCTTAAAGGCCTGTGCAAAGCATTCCATCCTATCTCTTAATTCCCCAGTCTAACACACATCTTTTTTTTTTTTTCCCCACAAAGGAAAAGATTACTTTGGACTTGACAATTAGGTTTACCCTGTCCCAGGATCCTTTCCTGGACAGCAGCCATCTCTCCCATCCCACAATCTTTCATCACATCCTCAAATCAGCTTGGCTCAAAGCTAGCTTTCTTAATATCCTTGTTTGGTCACCTCCTTGAGGTAGTTGCTTCTGCCATTAGACATTCTTTCATCTTTGGAGTCTACCTATGCACTGAAAACAGATTTCGTCTCTGTCCTGCACTAGAAACTCCTCAGCAAGAGAATGTGGCTGAGAATGTGTACTCTTCCACTAATGTACTGAAATAGAAGCTTTTTCCTTCTTCTGCTGTAACCTTTGACAGCAAGAGAACCAATCCTGGTTTTAACATATGAAAATGCCTGGCATCTCCACTGGTTAATCTAGGAAGAAAAAATAATTGCACAGGAATAATAAAGTGTTCACTTACAAATTCTTTGGAAGAATGGCAAGACATATCACTCAAAGATCCTATGCTCTGGCTGAGAATTCTTAATTGGGGGAAGAAGCAA